TTTTTACGATGCTCCTACTACTGCTGCTTGGAATTCCGAGTTCTTCCTTCAGAAGGAAGGTTTCAATTATATCTTCTGCATCAGAGACGATTTCTTTGATCTCTTTGACAGTTTTTCTCACCATGGCACTTGTTTGTTTCTTAGCATCTGCATCTTCAAGAAAACACATTAACATTTCCACATCACTTTTTAATTCATTGAATTGCTCTTCAACTCCCTGAAGTCTCCCAGATTCTCTGACAAGGAGTTTCCAAAGCTTGTCCACTCCAAACGACAAAAGTGTCTCAGCCATTTCTCCTGCTGAACCATGAGGGTAACTAGTAAATCACCAGATGAAAGTTAATACTTGATAGTGAATATCTATTCTGCAGAATTTAGTTCACAAATCTTTGTACAGAGACATGAACATTTTTAGATACAAAATGCAAAATACAAACAGAAAAAGCCCACAAATCTTCCGCGTAGTAATGAAACAAGTATGTACTTAATAATCACTCGAGGAAGATCCATGAATTCATAGTTCGATATTATTTTTCTGCAAATCAACAAAATTAGTATATATTATATTGTGGGATTTAAACCAGAAATCTTTGCACAAACATATACACAATACTGAAATAAAAAGATGGAAGACAAAAAGAGTGGAGAAATTTAAAAAATAGTGATCACCTGCTAAAAATCGCTTTCGTCCAACTGATCTTAAGCGAATGTGTTTAATTCAGGGTTAAGTTTCGAACTGAGCTTAGGACCCATTAGAAGAGTTAATTGACTCAAAGTCAACACTAACCGACACGACCAGCTGTATTCACAAGACCCACTTACTCTAATCTTTTATTGTATTATAATTAGATTTATTTTGAAGTGCAATATAAATCACAAGATTATCTTTGTTACAAAAATTTATTTAGTTAATTATAATTTCATTTATATTTTATTATTTTAAGTTGTATATAATTTATTTATTTTAGTTATTTTAGCTAAGTTTTATATTCTTGAAAAAACATTTATAGTCAGTTTTCTAAAAGATTTTCTAAATAGCTTCTGATAAGTATCATTCTTAGTTTTGAATAAAAAACGAAAGAGATTTGAAATGTTACTATTTTTCGTATTTTAGATTTCAAAAATAATTATTAATAAAATTTGCATAAAATATAATATTAACTAAACTAAAACAATATCATACTGTATAAAACTGTTGTAAATTATTGTTAATCGTTCAAACTATTTTGGATATAACATAGTCTTGTTATATACATAACTTTTATTGGTATAGCATATAGTTGTAACTTTATATCAATTTCATTTATGTGAATAGATATTCGATATATAAATGGGATAATTTGTAAATTACTCCACTAACAGTTTGAAAATTGAAAATTACATCTTCTATATTATTTATTTTTAAAATATACTTTCTTAAATGTGAATTGTCTTGTTTACCAAAGATTAGATATTTTAATAGTTAAAATATAATTATTTATGTTTAAGATAAATTTATGCGTTGAGATAAATATATTATTTTACCATTTAAAATTTTACAAAAACAAAAATATTATAAATAACAAGTTATGATTTTTTTTTGATTTTATTATGAACTATATATATATATTATTTTATTTTTCTTAAACAATACACGTTACTTTGCATTCTTTACAAAATATGCATTTTTCATAGGATTCATCATCTACCAAGCAAATTCTAAATGTACATTTACATATGTGTTTAATACGTTTGACTTTGAATATGATGTGTTCCAACAACACTAAGAAACACTGATTATCATACATTGTGTATGTTCCTTTTTTTACATGTCATGGAGACCCTGTTTGAACTGATGATTTGATTCTTATATCAATAAAACTATCAACGAGATGAGTTGGAAGACCACTTTCAATGGAACTTTTCAACCATAAATTCTGTCCAAATTTCCTAATATTGTCTAACCACTTGCTAAAACCTCACACTAGAAGCTTAAGGTTCTAACGAGCTAGGGGGGGCTAACAGTTGGGGTCAAAATCAGTCATAACGGAATCAATGGCTAAAAGTCCCGAAAAAACATACAAGAAAACTGTAGACTTTCTACGGAGATACGAAGTTACGGAAAACTCGTATCAAAGTATGAAATAATTAAAAGACCTCATAATGGGGTCAGAAACGGTAATCTCGAAATCAACGTCTACGATTACTTCTCCTTATGTTTTCAAAAAGAATCCCGAGTCGAGAAAACAAGAAACGACCAAGCTGGACAAGACCGTTCAGCTCGCCAAGACGGCGAGCTGGCCGTACAGACCCAGCTAGCCAGCTTGGCGAGCTGGACTAGACCGTCCAGCTCGCCAAGACGGCGAGCTGGCCGTACCGACCCAGCTCGCCAAGACGGCGAGCTGGCCATACCGACCCAGCTCACCGGCTTGGCGAGCTGGACAAGAACGGCAAGCTGGGCAAGCTTGGATTCCACTTGATATGAGGGAAGACGTCAGAAGACTTATGACTACGTCAAAAGACTTAAGACTATGCCAGAAGACTTCCAAGAAAATCTTTTGTATGTCTTCCAATGTCTGACTCAGATCTGTAAAAACCTGTAAAAACAAGATAAATTAGTAAGAATGACATAAGGAAAAAATTGGAAATTGATATAAACTTTGTTTTTTTTTCATGTTCAAAGAGATTAAAGAGAGGTTAAAGAATTTTAGTTTGAAAAAAAACATAAGAGCTCTATGCAACAGAAGATTAGTAAATGAAGAAAATCATACACGAAAACTTACCAAAATGCTCAGATTTGTTGTGAAAGAGAAGGCATGGAAGAAGACTTAAGACTACGTTAGAAGATTTAAAACTACGCTAGAAGACTTAAGACTACGAAAGAAGACTTCCATGAAAGTCTTCTGAACGTCTTCTGAAAGTCTTCCAATATCTGACTCATATCTGAAAAAAACTTGCATATCCAAAAACATTCAAATGACATCAAAACATATAAAAAATTCAAAAAACAATGTTGGTAAGCTTAAATAATAACTAAAACAATCACATTATGTTGAATCTATAACTTATTAGAATCTAATATATAAAATACACAAAAATACATATAAAAAATTTATAGATCTACCTTTAAGTGACTGAAAGATGAGATCTATGTAATGAAAAACCTGCAAAAGATAAAAAAGTGAGAAACACATAAAAATGAGAAATTGATATAATGTTTGGTGTTATCAAATTCAGATAGTTTAGCGAGATGAGTGAGAAATATTATATTTTTGTTGTCTCCATTTGAGAAGAAGAAAGAGAATATGTAAATTTTTATTTATATAGGAAGACAAAAATTTCAATTAGGTTAAATATTATTGATACAGAAGACTTTAGAAGATTATTCACCCAGAAGACTTATTTTAAAGACTTACTATTCACCCAGAAGACTTACTATTCACCCAGAAGATTTACTATTCGCCTAGAAAACTTACTTTAGGCGGGAAACCTAAATTATTTTAAATTTTTAAGCGGAAAACTGTTGTTAATTTATCTAGAGTCTTCTAGTGCATTATATCTTTGAAAATATAAGTATTCCAAAATCCTAAAATCAAATATAGAACTAAATCACATACAAAAACTTTATTAAACTTAAAAATAAACTTATAAAGTGTTTAATAAACACAAAACTAAACATATATTGTCAAATTTAGTTAAAAAAATTATGACTCCACAATCTAACCTTAAAAACATATACAACACTATAACATAGTTAACAAACCCTAAACCAAAAAAAGATCATGACTAACTTATATTCATTCATCTATGTCGAAAACAATTCAATTTTATTAAATCTAAATTTGTATAACTTACAAAAATCTATAATTAGATGATTATAGTTTTTTCCCTATCAAAATGTTTTTTATGAAATTTAAAAATTATCTTAAGAACTAATACACTAGATGACTCTCAGTGGAAGTCATAAAGAAGACTTAAGGAAGACTTACTTGAAGTATTAATTTTAGGCGGGAGACCTAAAATCTTTTATTATTTTAAGCGGGAAAATGTTGTTACATCATCCAGTAAGTCTTCTAGTGCATTATATCTTCGAAAATTTAAATCTTCCAAAACCCCAAAATCAAATATATAACTAAATCACATCCAAAAACTTTATTAAACCTAAATTAAACTTATAAAGTGTTTTATCTACACAAAACTAAACACATATAGCTAAAATTTATTTTAAAAAATAAATAAATGTTAAGATTCTATAATCTAACCCTAAACATACATACAATACAACAACATATTTACCAAATCCTAAACTAAAGAATATCATGACCAACTTACATTCACTCATCTATGTTGAAAACAATTCAGCTTTATTAAATCTAAATTTATATTATTTGAAAATGTCTATAATTAGATGATTATGATATTTCCCATATCAAAATATTTTTTATGAAATTTATAAATTATTTTTAAGATCTACAACATGTGAATACTTTCTGATAGATACATGAAAGTCTTCTCACTCGTAAAGTTATAATGGTAAACTACAGTTCTGTTTTTTTTATTTGATCATGAGGTAATATTTGTAATTTCGCTAGTTTTTTGAGTTACTTTTGGATTTGATTTGAGTTGAAGTACACTTTTGTATTTCAAATCAAGTTTTTAATCATATTTGGCAAATCCCTATTTTTATCATATAGATGTTCGAATCAGCAAGGGTCATGGAAATGGTTTTTAGTCTTTTATGAATAAGAGATCAAAATAATCAACTTGAATTATAGACATATATTTGGAATATTAGTAAAAGACTGTATTTGTTATTTATGTTTTTTTTGTGAAAATATCAATTGAAGCCGAGTTTTTGTCAAATAACTTTCCACCTCATAGGGAATATTTGTTATTTGAGGGTTCAAAATATTTTTGAATAGATATAAATTATTGATAAATTTGATGATATCTTATAGAATATGTAAATAAATAGAAAATAAATAAAAACGTTCAACACATTATATAGCGTGTCAAAACATAAAAATATTACATTATATTTCAGGGTTTTTTTTGTCAACACATTATATCTCAGGTTTAAAAACAAAATTATTTGTATCCTCGAAATAGTTGATTTAAAGTTTCAAACAGACCAAACAAAATAGTCAAAGAAGCTACAGTTGATTCATATAAATCTAAAGGAAACCACATGTGTGTAAAAACCTTATTCATCAAGAAACAGAAACCCTCCTAGTCAAGTTTCTAGAAGGCGTAGACGTTTTAGCCGCTTCTTCAGTTACAGATCCAAGACTCTCCGACGAATCCGAGCCACCACCACCACCACCACCTCCATTGTTCTTCTCTCCTCCTCCTCCTCTGCCCTGCAACTTCTTCCCAAACATCTTCTTCGACATTATCAAACTCTTCACTCTGCTTATCGCCGTGACCGCCGCTTTATCCACACTCTTCCTTCCACTCTCCTCCTGCAGTTTCAGTGCGGCTATCTCACTCTTCAATGCTCTCATTTCATCTTCAGTTGCCACCGCGTCCCATTCATCTTCCATAACTGTCGGCACTGATCTTGAGCTCCCATATGTCCCGCAGCTGCGTAGCTCCCTTATCCCTTTAGGCAAATCAGGTGTGCTGCTTCCAGACGAAGCAGACGCTCTCACTTGCTCAAAAAAGAGTACCTGAACCACTACACGTAATGGAAGCCTGTCGTTTTGCACCGCGTGCATACACGCTTCTACAGACAGTTTCCGGCAGTCCATCAGCTTGCACATCCTTTTCTTGTCTCCCTTTGTGATTCCTGCATGTTCCTAAAACCAAACCAAACCAAAGATAAGAATATAACATGTGGAAAAGAGAGTTTTTGAGTGTTCTTCAGGGCCGGTCCTGAACAAAACCGAATGAAATATTCATCTATGGTCCTTAAAATTTTTGAAAAAATAATATATATAGCTCCCTAAATTTCGAAAAAGAAAATATTATTAAAACTTTACTAAATCGCCTATAGCCCCTGGAATTTCAGAACAGGTCTATTGATCTTGGTACCTTAAGATACATGTCAATAGCACGGTAGAGCCCATCATGTGCAGGCCTGGAGATGCTAGAAACACTTTCAGCAAGATCAATGAATTTAGAAGCAGGAAGATTTGGATCTTTAGAAATTTCAGTAAGGTAGCTATCAATCAGTTTCGCCACCATCAGCTTTGAAGCTTCGGATAAAATCCCAGGAAATTTCTTTATCTCTTGAACTTCTTCATCATCATCTTCAACCTCTATCTCACTGTTTTGATCTCTTGCCATGAACTCAACAACTATCTTCTTCACCAGGTCCACATCGTACAGTGTTTCGCTTTCTTGATGAGATTTTATCAAGAGTTCAGCCACAGAAGCTTCTTCAAGTTGCTGTCCTATTCTTCTTACAAGCTGTTCCTTCACCATTTCTCCGGAGTTCAGCATAGTAACTGCTTTCAACAGTTTAAGCAAGAAACCGCAGGAGACGCTGTTTTTCTCAGCTGGTAGCAACCAAACAAGTGTCTCTATAACGGTCTTATGCTTCTTCAAATCTCCTTGTTCCATCACACCTTTGTTGAAACCAGATAATCTTCTATAACCATAAGCTTTCAAAGCTTCTCCAATCACTTCTCCGCCAAGTATACCTTTTGTTTTGATGTTCGTTATAACCCTCTTGTAAAAATCAATCTCTAGCTCACACAAATCCTCGACCCACCAATCATGTGGAACCTCTCGAGCCCTGACTTGATCTGCCGCACCGTTGTTTTCTTCAGCAAGTTTCTTTCGGTTGTAAGTGTAAGACCATTCGACGTTGGATACGTCAACGCAGGCCTTACTGGCTATGGCGTCAATGCAAAGGCTAACGAGTTTGAGGTCCTCGGAGAGTGGTAAGAACGTTTTAGTGGTCTGAAGAACGATGATGGAGTCTTTCCAGCTACGAAAGAGGCTCGAGTTTAGAAACACGTCAATCTTGTAGATCAAGTTTCCTTTCTCGACCGTCTCGTGCATTCCTAAGTACTCAGCTGCACATCTTGTAGCCACAACGTTGTAGGCACTTAGGGTTACTGTCATACCGTAGCAGAATTTAGCACACGTCTCGAATGCAGTTGGTCCACCGGGTATACCAGAGATATCAACCTCATCGTCCTTGTTCTTGTCTGTTCTTGAGAGCAACTTTTGCAGGCATGCACATTTTGACAGAAGAGGAAACTGCATAAGATGATAAAACAAGAATCATTAAAAGCTCAAGCCAACACTTGTTTCAAGAATCACATCTTCATTTTTATTGTTTTTTAATATAAATAAATGCCTATTTAGACCTACATGGAATCCCAAGTAAACGGATGTGCATAATAACTTGCCGACATAAGTCATATCGAGAGAAATTTTACTTACCTTATGCAAACAAAATCTTGAACCGTCAACATTGACAGTAATGTCAGTAGCCAGTTCGTTTTCTACGTACCTGCGTTAGAGAAATCAATATGAATCAATATTACTCTGTTTTTTATATGAAAGGCACAAAAGACTAAAGAGCAAGAGTTATGTTCTTTCTACAAGACGTCAAACTAACAGAACGAGAACAAGCACAAGTATAGATCACAAAAAAGACAAAACCTTATAAAGATTTGGATATTACCTGACATTACTCCCATCAGTTTTGATCGAATCTGGCTTCGACCCAATTTTCATGAACTTCATCTTACTTCACTTAGGAAAAAAACTCTTGAAGAGCTAAAGATCAATTACTTTAAGAACAGAAGAAAGACCAAGAAAAGACTCAAGAATCACAACGTCCACTTCATCCAAATTAGTTTAAACCATAACGGAAACGGTTCCCCTTAAAATGGAAATAAAGATGTTCCAGGAACTGAGGGTGGGGACCAGATTGTTCCTTTTATGCAACTAACTTAACTTCTTCCCTTGGAGATCTAAAAGCACAAACACAGAGAAAGGATAAAAAAGAAAAGGCAAAAGAAAGAAAACAAAGCCTCAAATGCAGAGAACTGACTCTGAAACCAATTAAGATTAACAACATGATGCAACTTTTCTTTCCTCTTTATTAAATTGTTTAACTTGTAGAATAATCAAACTAATAAACGGTTCTCTTTTCAATGGAAGACCCAATCAGAGAAGCAATTTGCTTCCTTGTAGACCAGCAAATGGCCGTGAAGCGCGGCCAAACAATGCAACTGAAGGGGACAATACCGTAGCAAAGTGTCTCAAGAGCAAATCCGAATCAAGAATCAAGATCCATTCTCTTAATGACTTCTTGTACTTTGTTTAATTAATTGTAACTAATGTAATGCAGCTTAAGATTAGAATTAAAAAAATGGATTTTTAATCTGTGCTGTGACTGTGTTGTGTTTCTTCAAGTCTCAAAGTCCAACTTTGAAGCACATGTGTTAGTATTAGTTTATTCAATCGTAGAAGTTTGGGAACCTGCAAATTTAAAAACATATAAAAACAGCATCTTGGTATCAGTGGAAGAAAACCACCACAACGGTAGACAAGAAGCATCTTTTATTTGCTTGTCCTGTTTCTTTTCATTATTTTTTCATGGAAGTTAAACATATTAAAGAATATTCAAAGCATAAAACTGCAAATTGCAGGTGCTATGATCTATTTTAAGTTGACCCAAGAACTAAATCTGAGAAATTTACAAGATAATTCCACAATGTTGAATACTTTGGGCTGGAATCCCTAAAAGCCTAATTAACAAAACCCATTTATTCAGGTCAATGGGATTTCGATGTACACATAACGAACCAACCGAAAGAGATTAACCAACATAGGCCCGATTATGTTTCATTTTGTGGGCGGTACAAATTGAATTTAATACTAAAATATAGAAAATCAATATTTTCAAGGATGGAAAAACCTAGAGAATAGTGTAAAGAGCAGGATTTAAGTTACATTATTGTCCTTGTGTTTGGGGTTTTGATTATATAAAATATAAGTTAGGGGTGGGTAGATAAATCGAATCAATAAAAATGAATTCGAACAGAACCAAAATCAAACAAGTAATAAAAGAATAATAACAACTCCATTTATCTTATTTATATCATCAAATTTAATGAAAAAAATTTAATTTGACATATCACCCGGAAGCACATTTTAATTTATAAAAATGTGATATATTAAAATTGAATAACTAAATTTCGTTAGCTCTCGTGGTAATTTTAATTTGACATATCACCGGAAGCACATTTTTTACATAAGTCTTAATCCATGTTTAAAATCATTACTAGATTTTGACCCGCGCTTCAAAAGCGCGGGTTTTTGTTAGATTATAAACAAATTTTGATATGATTTAGTATTTTAGAAAGGATGTACATTATTAGGCTACAAATCTTAAGATATAAAATAGATTTTTTTGAAAAATTATGTAATTTATAAATTAGTTTATTTGAGATTTTATATGTAAGTTTTTAATGTAACTCTCNTAATGTAACTCTCTCTAGGTCTTGACATTTTATCCGGATCGAAAAACACGACCAAACCGACCCGAAAATATAGGTTCGGCTAGGATCCATGATAAAGTACTTACTGGCTATCTTTAAAGACCCGCAGGAATCGATTCTAGTATGGATCATAACCGAGACCCGATCGGGTACATAAAAGCACTCAATATTTTTTTTTTATATATGTTTGGATATTTCATATATGTTTTTGGTATGGTGTATATTCTTTTAAGTTTTAGTTACAGTTTTAGGTTTCGGGTTCTAAAATATATATATATATATATATATATTCTTTTTTTTTGGATATTCAAATCAAATTTTTGGGTATATTTTGTTTTTCGAGTCAGATTAGGTAAAATTCAAGGTTTTCAGATATTTGAATATATTTTGAGTATTTATTTATGGTTTGAAGTATTTTTCAAATATTTTTCGGGTATATTGGTATTTTGAGTCCTAACTATCCAAGCCTACCCGCTACATATCTGGAAATTAGAAATTACCACACTGGAAATACATAGAAATTAGATTATTCATGAAAATATTGAAATTATAAGTTACAATCTTTCAAGAGTCTAGATATCTTTTTAAACAAAATTAATGTTTTAAAATAGTTTCTCTAGAATAGTAAATCATTA